TATATATATACATATTTATATGCATATATATATAGTGTTTATGCTTAACAATTATGATTTTTGTTGTTTCAATTGAGACGCGCACAGCATAGAGCGAGAGGCAAACAGCGAGCTGTGTGTAAAAGTGAATAGTGTTATCAAAGAGGGGCGTGGAAGGGGGGCGGGGCGGCAGTGGCCGAGTCAAGGCATATGGCAAAGAGTCGATTGATTGAATTGGAAACAATTTGGTTCAGATTGTTGTTGTTGTTAGCGAGGCTTTCAAGCTTTTATTCTGGCCTAATTTACAAAAGTACAAACGTCAAACCCAACTCGCTCTCTGTTAACTGTTACAATTTGATATTGTTTATACTTTTTCTTATCTTTCTTTTCGTTTTTTATACATTTCGATACTTGCGGTTAAACATTAAAATACAATCGAAAACCAATTTCGCTAAGTAGTATTGATTGATCAATGAATGAATGTATATCGCCTGTCTTTAYAATATGCAACTATATATACATATAGCTACTACATATATTTGCATATTTTTATACAGTTTTGGGGTCGGTCATATTGCAGCGAAGGCTCTTGAGTACATCGTTTCGCTTTACTTGTTTGTTAAAATCTTCTTAGAAAAACTCATTCACAATATTATAAATCATCTCATTTAGTTTTTGTTTTTGTGTTTATTTTAGTTTCATTTTTTTATTTACTGTTATTTATTCTCTTTACTCAATATTAATTAAACGCGTGTGGCTTTGAGCGAAAAAAAAAAAATAATCAGACTATTAAAATCAAGTTTTTTTTTTTTATAATTACAAAGAAAAACACAATGCGCAACAATTGGGGATTAATTCATGTTCATTTAAATACTTATTTAAATTTGCTTATGCTTGTTTTTTATGTTGCGGTTTCTCTGGTTGTTCTTTGCCTTTTTTTTTTTTTTTTTTTGCTGCTGCTGCAGGACGCACAACAAAAATCTCTGTAACAAATACTACATAAAGCCAGTGTGTGTGTGTGTAATTAATTAATATAATTAAAAAGTACATACAAGCTATCAACTACAGTTAGTTGTGTGTGTGTGTGAGTGTGTGGGTTTTAAGTGTGTATAAGCAGTTGCCAAGCCATTTTGGGCGCTTTGGGCTTTGGACTTTTTGAATCTCTCAGCGCGCAACAGAATTTTACAATTGTCGCATTCTTAAATACATTTTCAAAATTACATAATTTAAATAATTTAAATATACACACGTGTGGCCCCAGACTATGCTTAAACACAGATGAAAAAAAATATCAATACATATATATTTGTATATACATATATGTATGTATATACATATGTGTATGCGTATATCAATTTATAGAATAAGCACATACATGCCGAAGTGGAGAAGCATGTGGAGGAAGCGCCGTCCCCTCTCCAAATGTTTACTCGCTTAGCTAAACTAAACTCTCATTATTTCAATTGGTTTTTTGTTTTTCTTTCTCTTTTGTCTTAGTTTTATTTTTCTTTTTTTATGTTTTGTTTTGTTTTGTTTTGTTTTTATAACGTTTCGTATGTAATGCGTATTCTACATATTACCCAGCTCTCGTAAAAAATACCAACACTCAGCGAACGATACACATTCACAATGCCAAACGCAACTTAATAACAAATCATTTTTTAACATTTGATGTCTGTGGAATTCAAGCGAAATATTGTTTTTCTATTTCTAGTTTCTCATGGCCCAAACAGCTGGCTAACAACGTTGAGCCCATTGTATGTGCTGCCGTGTTTTGTCCAGCTGTTTAGCTATCTTAGTTGCCATGGAAGAGAAGAGAGTTCTGATCTGCAGAGCATGATGAAAGTCCTCTAGTTGTAGGTTCGAGTCGGTGCACATGAGTTCCCTCTTTCGATTTATATATGTAGTTGTGTATGTGTTGCTGATACTACTCTGTTGCTGCGCTGCTGTTGTTGTTGTTGTTGTTGTTGTCGATGCAGTTGTTGTTGCTGCTGCTGTTGATGTTTCTTTTAAAGTTGTTGATGGTGTTGTTGTTACTGTTGTAGTTGTTGTTTTTTTTTATAGTTGCTGCTGCTGTAGCTTCTACTGATGCTGCCTGCACGTTAACTACGCCTTCAACACTCACTTTGGGATAGATCAATATCCTTTTTGACGCTGCGCGCCAAGCGATCCAGCTCAGCGGCCGCATCGGATCGCACAGATATCTTCTCGGCCGTCAAGAGAGAATCGGTGCCATTGGAGGTACGTGGCGTGCCCACGCCGCCGCCAGGACTGGCTGCGCCCGCCGGTCCACCGGCTGGCCCGCCCGACTTTTTATGCAGCAGCGAATTAAAGAAGTTGGCCAGCACACCTTCGCCGCCGGGCGTGGCAGGCGTTAGCTTGGGATCAATCTGGAATATCGATTCAATAGTTGTAAAGCGAAAGGTGTGTGTGATCGACGGCTAAACACTCACCTTTTTGGGCGAACTTTGACCGGCGCTGCCGGGTGTGCGTGGTCCACTTTTGTTGGCGCTAGCATTGGCGCCCTGTGATCGCAACGGCGACTCGCCACGCACCTGGCCGCCTTGCTTGAGTATCTCCTGCTGGCGTGCCAGGAAGGCCTGCTCGTCCTCGGTCTGCACCTCCGTTTCGCGATTGGAAACGGCCTGCAACAACAAAAAATGTAAATGAACACTTGGACAGGAGCAAGTCTCGACTAGGAATCACCTTTCGTGTGGGCGGCGCCTTGATGATATCTGTGTAATGATTCTCGGCCTTGACCGCATGCATGTTCTCATACAGAATACTTATTTTCTTCAGGCTATCCCAACCCGCCGGACTGCAAAGGCAAAATCAAATGATCAGTGATCAAGGATATGGCGAATGTGATTGAAATCCTCTTACATGAGCACCGCATCCTTTTCAACGACTAGCGCTGGCGTACGGAATGGTAGACCATAAATTCGATGCGTTAGATATTTATAAAGGAGATCACAGTTTTTGTCCTCTTTCACGCTCGTGTAAAAGAGCGAAGCGCCGTGCCGCAGACAAAAGTTTCGTATCCACTGCTGTATGAAATCGAAATGCTCGTCACGGTACTCGTACTCCTTCTCCAGTGTTGACATGTAGTCCGTCTGTGGATCGGGGAGGGAATGAGGATATAGTAAATGAAATCAATCAAGTCTCTGTGTGTGTGTGTGTGTGGAAATACACACCTTTGTGACCACAACAACAATGTCCAGGCCCAGATTTGTAATTAGTGCGTCCTCTGTCAGCGGCAACAGATCATCCTCATCGATCGAATTGTTGTGCATGGTGCGTTTAACTGGTGAGCCGGGATCGAGATCATCGCCCACCTCACAGTAGCTCTGCCACGTCGTTGCTAAGCGCTGGCGTGCCGCCTCCTTCTCTTTGGGATCTAATTGCAGGCTCTCAATGTGCTGGGCGAGCACCTTGATCCACTGATTGAGCTGCTCGAGCCAGCCCCACGGCTGTGTCATCGAGACTGTTAATATGACGAGGGTGTGTGCATAGTTCGTTTCGTTGAGCGCATAATGCAGCAGATTTGTGTGTCCTGGATCGCCATCCAGTACCCAAACGCTGAGGCGCGTCATATCTGAAAAGCAAGGCAACAATATTCAATTATTATAGTTAACCATATAGAACTCTGATTCCGAACACCAACCGTCTCTGTACTCATCCTTGACATCAATGTAAGCATACTCCAGGCCAGAACCCTTCTTCGGATCCTCGACGCCCTGCAGCTTCGCAATGAGCGTCGTCTTACCAGTGGCATTATCGCCTAATACTAGTACAGATTTATTTGATGGTAGTTTTGTGCTGCCTTGTGTTTGTACTTCATTCAATATCGCTGACCTGTAATGAGAAAATTGAATTTAGGTCACTATTCCGTTGGCTATCAAATTTTTGCAATCTACATTAAAGCCGGCCCAAATTCGTGTCACCGTGGCGAACGACAGCCAAACGGCTAGGGTCAATCCCATAGACCCATTGTCCATAGTCCATGCCCATAAGACCCATACCCTTCGACCGTAGTCCGTAACCCGTAACCCGTAACCCGTCACCCGTAACCCGTAACCCTTAGCCGTCCGTATCCCGAGACCAGCTATAAACCACAATTCTCAATACTGTGGCATGCCACGCAATCAAGTTAATTGCATACCTTTGCTATTTATGAGGTCGACATTGTTACTTTATATATGCACACCTACACATACATATACATATACATATACATATACATATATATGTATATGTATTCGCACACACACAGAAGAACTCTAGTTTTCAACGGGCCATTTCTGCAATTCAATTAAATTGAATTAAATATTTCAATTGAAAATTGTCCTCTGGCCAACTCTCTCAGCCAGCTGACTCACCAAACGGTGGGCGTTTTTGCTGGCCAACTAACTAACTGATTGACTAAGCGCTAGACATGCTAAGCTGGACGTTGGAGCTCAGAGCCCGTTCGTGCCAAAAATTGCGTACTACGAATATCGATTGCCCGATTTCTCACTTTTAGCTTCATAACTATTCTTTTCTATTGAGTTTTCAAAGGTGTTGCGTCGTGCACAGTGGTTGCAAATCAACAAAATACTGATGAGACAAAAATATATTAGCCTAAATATGAGTAACTTTTACTGCATTTTTTTTTT